TTCAGTGGAACATTCATGTGACGTCTAGAAACTTCCGAATAAACTCGTTCAACCAGTTGTCGAAGCACGTCGCAAACTTCATAGAACTTCAATGATGGTTTTTCTCGTTTGAAATGCTTTAAGGACTCCTTTTGACGAGGAGAGAGAGCAACGGAACATGATCGCCTGAACTCACCCCCGTCCCTCCCACATATGCACTCACTGCCAAACTGTACAATAATGACCTACGATGGGAATCGACGCCATTTCGGACCGTCTAATGTATAATGAGGTTCAATACAATATGAAAACGTTGCCCTCATTCCGTGTGATGGATTGCTCCCAGATTGGATTGCAGCTACTTCGTTCATGTTCGGTTTTCCTTTTGAACTACCTATTTACAAATAAACCCGAAGTCGTATCGGACGAATAGGCTGGCTCTGTGTAGGGATAAGCCCTATTTCGTGACAATAGGGTACAACGAGCCCTAGGTAGTGGCCTATTCTACCCCTAGAAATCTACCATCCTAACATCCCACTTGAGGCAAAGATGAGTTGCTTATAAAAAGGCCAGCGACGAAGGGCAAAATAAGGGCATTTTGGTAAAACCATAAACATATTGACAGATGGTTGCGTAACATTCAAGGAATGCCTTCTAATGCGGGCAGACTACTAGCTCGAGCTCGAAAAGAAACAAGTTTTTTTATCCCGAAGAAGACGTTTTCAGAGAAGACACCTCCTCGTTTCCCTTCCAACGGATGAAGAAAGGCAAAGTAAGGGCATTGCTAATTGTAAGAACAAAGACCGAAGAGAGCGAGGATGAAGATCATCCATTTCAGGGTTAAATTACTTGTTTAGGCGTTGAACTCTAATCACCATTCCCTTTTTTTTTTNCTTGGAAATCTGTATTTACACTGAAGGATGAAAGATCGGTGGAAGCGATATTGTGAGCCATATAGGTGTTCAATGGATTGCGTGAACAGCCTCGAAACCAGCGATCAACCCAATCTAGTCAACTTCTATAACAATCCCCCATTCAACCAACCATAATCTGTATTGTGCGGTACGTAATATCTACTGGATTAAGCAATGTAAACCTGATTCTCGCGATCCCAGACGATTCGCCATCGAGCTATTCCCGGTTATGTAATCCTATGCGTGGGTAGGGGGAACTCCAGCAGAACTGCACCGCATTTATGGGCACTTGTACTTGATAGTGGTCTAGAAAAGGTACTTTTTTAAAAAAAAATCTCAACTGGGGAGGGCGGAGAGGGGGGTGGAAGGGGACTATAATGCGAAAAATGGCTGGATTCAATACGTAATAACTTTGGTTGCTCATACAGAAGTACAGGCAGTGCTTTGCAGGAAATGTACGAGTAATGGGGAATTACAGTTTTTGGTGCATCCGATGTTTTACATTAAAACTGTGTTCATTACATTCTATTAATTTAGCTTACTATAATAAAGAATCAATCTCACGGGTGGGACTTATAATGAAGGCAGAATTTCCTCTCATGTTGGAAAGATGGGAAAAATCTGGGTGGTCTTGCGAAAACCAAAGGTGAAGCCAGGAAAGTAAAGTACCGAGTATGTAGCTAACGTCGTGCAGTTCAGTTGGCTAACATCAACGTAGCTAAACTTGAATGCACTGAAGCAGCTTTCAACATCGAAAATTGCCGAATTACGGTATTAGTCGTAAATCCACGATTTGTGACTCCGACGGCCTCGACGGATAAGAGTTGTTGCGGTTTGGGTTTAGGCAAGCGGAAAGGCTGGAAAGGTAGAGAACAAAACAAGGAGAATACAACATGAATCTAGAAAAAGGATCATAGTTAAGGCTAATCGTAGAAACATACCCGTACCGGTGATTGGTAACCCTTGGGTAATCATTGCAGAAGTTTCTAGAACATAGACTTTTTAGGTTTTTTATGGAAATTTTCAGAAGATTGTGCAACTAACAGACCAACTGCATGAACGAACGTTCAAGCTTCCAAACCACCTTCGTGGAGTGTTTAATTGGCTTTCAAAAAGTAATAATGCACGAAATGAGAACAATTGAAAGAGGGAGTGAAGAAATAACAGACAAAATGAGTAACTACTCTGAANAGAAGATTGTGCAACTAACAGACCAACTGCATGAACGAACGTTCAAGCTTCCAAACTGCCTTCGCGAATCGCTTAATTGGCTTTCAAAAAGTAATAATGCACGAAATGAGAACAATTGAAAGAGGGAGTGAAGAAATAACAGACAAAATGAGTAACTACTCTGAAGCACTTCCCATGGAGTAAGAGTGGGGAAGAGAGCGAATTCTCGGAATGCCATCGTCAAAAACACTCCCGGAGGCAGCGCAGTTGTACCTGCAGGGGACCGGTTTCCTGGGTCGTTGACTGTTTTGGCTACTTTTCTTCGATGTGTTTTTGTATCACTGGTTACTTTATGAGTGTATACGCGTGCTTGTTCCATGTTTTGCCAGATAAATCTACTCAAAGTGTTGACTTGTCGTATTGTGAGCGATTGTTGTTTGACCACTGAGAACCTTCCGGTCAAAAGGGTAAACAATGGTCAGAGTCTGCTTGAAAACTGAGCTAAACCGTTGGGTAAAGGGCCCTTGGCTACTTGAGTACCAGTTCAAGGTGAGGTAATTCTTTTCAGAAAAAAAGGCGGAGTTAGACGGCGGAAGAGAAGATTAGATGGATAGTTTAGGGTCATTCCTTGGAAAAGAACTGGACCGAGCAGTAAAGGAGTTAGGCTCGTGCCTAGAGAAGAGGCGAGGCCAAGAAGACGAAGCAACTTTGGTTTCAATAAATGTGTCTTTCTCTAGTTTTCACTTGGAAATATTACTCTCCTTCCGCTTCTAGCAGTGAGAGGTCCCAAACGCGTTACCAGGAATGCGGTGTAGACGGGGTTTCTGCAACTGGAAGTTTACTCACAGCCCAAGTGCATCCCTTCCCCCTTGTCTGAGAACGTGGCCCACACGGTAAGTTATTCAGCTATTTTCTGTATTTCACCAAAAAGTGTAAATTTCTTCTCCTCATTATCAGTTATACCGCTCGGACTCACAGTATCTTACCAGATAGCCTGAGTCGTTGGGTTATGTGTATTTCACAATAATTCGTCGGTAACTATCCAAGAGAGAACCGTTCAAAAAGAAAACCGGAAGCGTTTTTGGCCGACTTCTAGTAAAAACTCGAGCACCTAAGTAAATGAAGTATGTGGCGAGAATGAGAATCCAACAGAGTAACAACAAGATCTTCGAGATTGGGAGTGCTACGGGCTCCATCAAAGGGCATAGCTACTTACTGTGCAGTCGAAGGAAAACAGCAATATCCCTTACACCATACTATACTACTTTTTGTTCTCGTCAGTAAAGAAACCGGTTCACAATGAATCACTATGACCGGTACAAAGGATTGCAATGCGATCGTAACATTGAGCGGATTTCTACTAAGGATGAATTCAAAAAAACATCCACGAGAACCCGACTGGGTGAGGAATTCCTTCCCAGCCGCCCGTTCCAGACACTCATTAGAGCTTACCTACTTTGAAGTAGAACAATTGCCTTGGTAGAAATCAAAATTTTAAATCTCAATGGCGTAATGTTAGCCCATTGTGAAAGACACCTGCAGCCATGCAACGTTCAGGGATTTACCTAAATATTCCACTTTCTATGTACCAAGCCTAATTAAATTTTTTTCGAACAACTAATGAATATTTACTAATTGAAAGAGAGAAATGAAGTCAAGTACATAGGTCTGTTACTTTGGGGGATGTCTCTGAGTACGAAATGGCTTACACAAGTTCATCCGGAGACTTACCTCACTACTCTCATGAACAGCCATTTGCCTCTCAAACCTCTCAGTTTAAAGGACACTGGTATACAAATAGAACTTAGGAACTCTCCCATAGTCTAACCCAAAGCTTCTCTAAGGCTAACAAAGCTCCCCGCACTCGACTTCACCTTCCCCCTCACCCTAACCCCTGACTTACAGTGACTGAAAACTTCTTCTGAGAGCATCGGAAACCCTTTGCTAATGAAAAAGTGGTTGGTTCCTGCCCTATGTCGGCGACTTTGTTGAGTCATAGACAATTTCACAAGTTTCTTACTTCCACTGCTTCCAGTACCGGAGAGGACAGTAGGTTCCAAGGTCAAATAACGTGTTTTATTGAGGAAAATGTGGGTGGCTGGGGAATGTAACCATTGTAAGACCTAATGTCGAACTTGTTCTTCTCTGAGTTCGGGTTCTTCTACGGATGAGCGATCGACGGTATCCAAAAAAAGCTAGTCTGAAGTACAAGTTGACCCATAAAAGTGATATACCTGTAAACGGAGTTAGTACCAGTTTCTTTGAAGCGATCGACTCCAAAGATAACGAAAATGTGAGCAGTGAGTCCACTCGAGCACTCCTCGGAGTGACACTCCGACTAATTCTGGTAAAAACAGTTAATGATAAAATACTGGTATATAAGCTGGAAAACTGAGTAGCATATCATTCTTTATTCCATGCAGCTGTTCTTTCCAGTCATACGTGAGCTTTGTCTGTTCTTTTGCAGGTTAATGGAGCACTATGTTAATGGGCGCGACTTGGTGGGATCACACTATCCCTGTACCTAAACAGAGGGAGTTCCATCAGGAGAAGGGAAGTCTGATTTTGTGAAGTGCGCTCGGTATGGCTCTAGAAAGGACTCGCTTTCTATCCCTTCGGGGTAGAGAAGCGTAGCGGACAGAGGAGCCACTTAATACCGCTACGAAACTTGGAGTCCTGTCCAGCAGCTGAATGGTACTCGAAACCTCATACCTGCCAGCTTGTAGGCGTTGAACTTCTGGAGACTAAGGAGACTTCACGAAGGGCTGGGTCACTCGGCAGCAGAATCGTTTGAAAAAGCTATGTAGTTGCTTCTAACCTACAAATCTGGTTCCGATCAAACAAACAGAGAGTAAGGTGCTTTCCTCCACTGAAGTATGATAACGTCCTTTCCATTCCACTCTACCTACTCACGTCCTTATCAGCAAATCAGTGATTATGATGAGGGAGGTTGCTGTGGTAGACCGATGAAGAGCTAACAAAACTGCGAAATGAACTCAGAGTGATTACTTTTTTCATGATTAAGTGACGTTTTCATTCGGCAGTACTCTTGAGGGTTAGCTGATTTGCTGAAGTCCCAGTTGCAAAAGGGCTGGAAGATTTCGCTGCTCAATGATGTGGGAACCAGTGGGAGAGGCATAGCGCCAACGAATCCAAAGCTTCTTTTCAGATTCTAAGGGGTTCTTCCACTCCTGTTGTCAGTATCCTCTCAAATGGCACCTCTGAAAAATGGGTTTCTGCTCTGCCCTCTATCAACACCATGATATGATTTCTCAGAACCGTAGCTATAATTCAACGAAAAGCTCTATATTCAAGCTACCAGCCGATCATATGAGTAGAGTGAGTTTTTCAGGAGGATATGTGCTTATAACACCACTCTTTCCAATACTGTTATGCCTGAAGTGCTTTGGCGAGGGTAACACTATCGTCAGACACAGAGTAGATGTAACATTTTCCAAATGTATACAGAACACCTGGTTACCTGTTTAGTAAGTTAATAATTCTGGCAGACTCCTTCGTATGAAAGCTGCTGTAAAATATCGGTGGGACGAGAAGAATGCACTCCAGATGATACAGAGCTCGAAATACACGAATATCAAAAGGTCAACCAGTTGACGACTTTCAATTTTCGACAGTAATGAGAAATATCACAAGATAGCAAGAACATTCATGAATCTCTTTTGAACTATCGTTCCAGAAAAAACGATTCTTCAATGCATTTCAGCGTTTTTATCCGAGGGACCCTGCAACCACTTTCCGTTGCGAAAATACCTTCGTCGCTTCTTGCTGTTGTTATGAAGATTTATGTAACGCAGGTTTCAGAGCCTTCATGGTCAGTTGTTGAAGGATACGATTTTTTTCGATAAGTGGAATCATTTTATCCGGAGTGCCGAGCCCGAAACTAATAACTACCCAACCCCTGATAAAATAAACACAGGAAGTACGCAGAAATACTTGCACTTGGACAGTTACTGGGTTTGTGCTCCACAAACGTAGTAACGGGAGTGAGGATGGATATGGACACCGAGTGTGTGCACGAGGATAAGGAGGGGAGCGTCCGTTGCGCGTGTCCGTCGAGACTAGGCTATCCCGCCCACTTCGCGCGCGGCGCATCACACTGAGGTCTCGAAATCAATGAAGAGTCAATGGAACGAATGATTTGCATTTGTACGTGTTATCTTCTCTTTGAGCTGACCGCCATGAACCAAGCGCAAACCGTATTCTCCATTGACAACTGCGACATCTGTCAAGTATCGCGGGCTGACGCGCCGCATGCGACGGCTTCGACGTGACCTAGTTCTGTTGGACGTTCCGCGGTTTTCTCAGGTAGAGCGCTGATTGCCGATGAAAGATATAGGTACAGTATAGAATGAGCTTATGTTCAGACCATGGGTCTGGGTGTATAGATATGTACATCATGAGTTCACTGTTGAGCTCCTCTTACCATAAGGTAGGAATTCTAAACTGAGCACAAGTCACGGAATTGTTGTGAGTGTATGCTTGGATATATGGTGTGATTGGGGGATGAGCATGATGATGTGGTATGAGGGAGAAATCGAATATGACTAGCATCACCCATGCCCACTCCCTTACATATACCCCCACCTCCATACATACCGAAGGGAAATAGTTGGACACTATCTAGAGGCGATTCTGAAGCGCTCAACACTCCATTCCAGAATTTTTGGAAAAACTCAAAGTTTGAAAAGAAGACAGACGTCGATGAATGTGTGGAAGAAGGTGAATTTCAAATCCGCAGAAGCTGATTTTCAATAAAAGTTGCTTCTACTCGGTACTTTTTGATAACGGACCACAAAATATTTCTAATTTTAGCCTTTCGTCTGTACAAACGGGGCCCACCATACAAAAGGACAGGTGCAATTTTGTTATATGGCATATTTATTCTAAAATTTTACTACTGGTATTCTCGTTTCTCTAGAAAATTTGATGGTTCAGAATTGAAAGTAGGATAGGTGCTATTGCCCTATGCGAATGGGACTGGAGCGAGCTCTGAACAAGCATCCTACTCCTTACATCCTGAAATCGAGTAGTAGGCAATACTCCTAAGTATGGCTGGGCTGTTAACCTACACCAGCACCCGCTTCGTCTAGGGCTATTATTATCGTTTGGTGCTCAGATCTCGTACAAAATACATTCAGGAAACTAAAAAGTCGTCCCTGTGGTCCTCCAATTGCTGGCCGACTTGTCCGGAAGGGAAAATATGACTCTCGTCAAATAAGTCCCGAAGGCCATTGAACAAGCAGCTACGATTCTAAATAGATCCCGGGGGCGGGCCATTCCAAAAATAAATTAAATTATTCTGAGTGCACTCTCAGCGTTTGTGAGAATTTAATCTCTTTTGTATACTTAACCAACATTCCTACAAAAGTACAACGTTATGGAGGTATCAGATCGAAAGGAATTGATCTATCGACACAACCCATCGACAGCACAACAGCACTGTCAACAAGAATCCACAGCGTTTGGTTGCCTACAAATCTTTTCAACCCTGGTCCACACCTTATTGCTCTTTTATAAATAACTTTGTTGGTCAATAATCAATTTCAATAACATTTCTAATTTTACAACCTCTCCGATCAGTTCCGTAATTGACTGTCAGGGATTTCAGAACCGAGCACAATGGCACCCACAACTAAACTAACAACAACAACGACAACTACTACTACTACTACTACTACTACTACAACGACGACAACAACAACTACAACAACAACGACGACGACGACAACACCAACAACAACAACAACTACTACTACTACAACATCCATACCTACCACCACTTCTACAACTAGTAAGTTGTTAAAGATTAATGAAGATTTGAATCTGCATAGCAGAGCAGTTCTGCGTGAGATACTTGTGAAAATAGGAAAATGGTGAGGTAGATAGAACATCTCCAAAATGGGGTAGTTTCTGGGAAGGCGTTGACCCTGACAGCATTCGCTTTCCCGCCATCACCAAGCAGTTTCGCCAATAGGCCCGTCCGTGACACCTCCTTACCTCTTCCACTCCTAGTCCTCTTCTACTTTTGACAAATCCCTCTAGTGTTTGTTTATTGATCAATAAATCCAATTTCCGTAATGAATTTCGTGTTTGAGTTTGAGAAGTTTCAGATCCGCCAAAGACTTCACTTTCGTTGGAGCGAGATCAGAATGAAACCTCACCGGGATACTCATCAGTCTCCCCAACAGCCAACGAATCCGTCGTTTTCGGTAAGTGATTTAAGCCTGTAAAAAGTTTGGGACAACTGGTACTGAAAGCTTCATTTGGGAATTGTGACACAGAAGGATCCCCATGTTGATGTAGCTTCACTTGCAGACCGTTTGTCTTAACGGCACTCATTTTTCTATTGAATGGCATTTGTAAATTTCAAAAACGGTTCCAATTTTACTTGCATCATAAGTTCAAAGTATTTTCAGGCACCGGTGGAACTGATCCGTCGACTAAACAACAAACGGCAATAAAAACTGGCAAACCTCCAGCTCCATTTATACGTAAGTAGATGACCATTGCATGAAAGAAAAGTGAACTCAGTGTATGATTTGACGGAAAAAAGGCAGAAAATTGCTGAATCTTCGAGCGGACCCCAGCCTCCATTTGCCCTCTGATTGTTAGCCATGTACGTGCTTACTTTCAGATGTGTAAGCACCACTATCTCAAGTAAAGCGAACATCTGTCGACCTCTTTTAGAACGTGTTGACTTTAACCTCACTCCTACTCTCCACGGTAACCACAGTGCCTATATGTATATCTCCACAGCTGATGACGGCTGTTCCATTTTGTCGGCGACTCATAACTAATCAGTAATTCAACTCAACCTTTACAATCATGAATCATGGAAATCATCAGACTCGACGGGAATTGTTCGAACAACGAAGAAACTAACAAAACGACCAACAGCTCCGAATACAAAAGGGTCTAGACGTGAGTATATGGATTGAAAAGACAACCTGATTTACATAGCAGAAGCAAGGGATACAAAACAGAAGTGGATTGAAATATTATTAGGAGAGGTGTTGTAAAAAAAACTGTTACTTAGCTAAGATTCTTGAATGCTGGTTGTTGGCCGATAATAATCGACGGTAAGCACATGAACCCCACGATTTTTGACGATAGGGGGGTACCAGAGACGGCCAAGTGTGCACTTAAATTCATATAGGAACTGGAATGTAATGTGTGTGTGCTTCACGGATCTTCTGATCTCGTGGCTTGTCCATCGTTCTGTTGCCCTTCTCGTAGATACTCTAGCGTCTCCAATATAAGACACTGAGCAGATGTCGTTGTTGTAAGTATCTCGGTATCCCTGCTCTCTGCGGTTGATGTTCAAGGGTGTCGGTTCCAGCGCTCGTTTTGCGCGAGTCTTCATCAGCGCAGACGTCCTGTTCCCGTCATGTCTCGAATGCAGAGTGCGGGCGATGCCAAGAAGTGGAATGGGTCAGCTCGTATCTCCTTGTCTGATAAGAGTTCAGCCGCTTCTTTGATGCCTGCAAATGTCGCATATGGATTTCTGCACTTCACAATCTTTCTGAGTTGTTGCCGATAGGTGTTGGATAAGTCGACCGAGTTACACACGGATGTCGGTGACTGGATAGTGTGGCGCCTTCAAGTATTATGGGTGATGCCCAGTCGTTCGACATGACAATTGTCTTGTTCGGATTCATCGTGTGGTCAACGACTCTGCTAATGTCGTTCAACTCTCCACCTTCTGCTGCAACTCTTTTCGGCTTTAACTGATGAGGATGATGCGCAAGTTGGACAACTCATTGCCGTCGATGCTGATGCCTCTATCGTCCCAGTCTAACTGTAGAAAGGCGTTATCGAGTGCCGTGATGAATAGATTGGGAGAGATCATATCGCTTTGCCTGACTCCCTTCCAATCAGAAGTTCCTGTTGGAGAATGTGAGAGACTGTCCCAGCGTTCTTTTTGCGCACATCTTCAATCTCCATCAGCGCAGACGTCTTGTTCTCCGTCATGTCTCGGATGCAGGGTGAGGAGTGGAATAGGTCTATATTCGGGATGTGCATCCTCGGATGCACGTGAGAAGTTCCGTTCTTCCTTTGGGAGAACCAACTGCTTCTGTGGTCGATAGTCGTCCATTTGCTTATAGACTAAAACGAACTTGGTGAACAGCTTGTACGGATATGAATTGAGCGTAATGAGACAGTTTTTTATTTGGTCACGCTCGCCTTCCTTGAAGAGAAGAATCATACCTGGAAACTTATACTGGTTCGGGACCCTCTGCACATCTGTTTACTCATTGTAGCTCGTGATGATCTGCTTTACGACAGTGTAGGGCTGACTTCAAAATATCCACTGAGATGTGGTTCAGTCCGGGTACTATCACCCGACGTAAGGCATGTTCTAACTACAACTTTTCTATCCGCAGAGCCACCTGTTGTGTTGGTCTAGGGGTAAGGAAATCCGGAATGGCTGGACGGGAAAGGTCCACGAAAAAGCTGAAGGCCTTCTCCTCGATTTCTGCTCTGGTTGTCAGCGGTCTGCCTACCACGTCTCTCGTTACCGTGATGACCGGCAAAAGTGATCAAGTTTAGCGAAATCGTTTGAGGTTCGCTCTCGCTTCTGCCTTTCCTTTGCTTGAGTGTTTCTGTGACGCTAAATCGGCTCTTAACAGCGATGCGGAACGCTTTGTTGATCAATGCACATTTGAAAGGTGTGAATGCAGAGCTACAGTGAAGGGCAGGCCCTTATTGGGAAAGTGTGCGAGCATTGTCATCGGTCCTTCTTGCTCTCTTTCTAGGTGACAAACGATGCTTACCGCGCAGTGTAGCAGAGTCCTTTTCCAACCAAGTAATAGTTTTAGAAAGAGCTTTGGGCGTCGCGCCGCAGTGCACAGCGATAAACTCCATGACACTTGTATCGTTTTGCGGTGGAGGTCGGCAGTGTTTGGCCTTCTGCATTTCGTGTGTAGGCGGATTTCGGTCCTGTCGAACTTATGACCCTCCAGCTGCGGGCTGAATGCATCTACCACATCAATGTCGACTTTCTGTGACTTCCACTTTTGTTAGGGAGAACGTGGTCGATTTCGCTGTGAGTTGCACGCTTGGTGCTCTCTTATGTCCATCATTGTAGTCACCTAAAATAGGAGCTTGGATGAAGCCCTCTCCACTGCTGCCCTGACTTTGACAATACCAAATTTCCTACATTCCTCCTAATGCAAGCGGCTGCAGAACCCTTTTTCGGTCGTTCTCGGGCAAAATTTTTCTTGTTACATACCCCTTCGGAATAAATTGAAATTCTATTATCAAACTCACCATATAAATATAAGTATCAATATATATCACCTCTAAGTTCAAGTCTTCAAACTATCAAAGAGTTCAGACTCGAAACATGGTACTTCACCAAAACCACAATCAAAAAAGCCAGGTTCAAAACCACAATCGAAAAAGCCAGGGAAAACTACCAGAGCTGGCATCTTCCCTTTGAGTAAGTGCTTACATCATTGGTAGAATCTCAAAGTTGAAAGACAGAGCGGTTGGTAGCAGAATGCTAGCAAGTAGCCTTATGGTCCATGTATTCGGGGAGTTGCGAGCTTTTCTAATGGTATAGGAGACTGGACTGCCCTATCTTAAGGTTTATGATTCAATTCAGAAATTTATTTCGCCCTAAGACGATGGTGGAAAAATTAGAATTGGCCGGCTTGGCAGCTAGTTTTCAGAAAATCATAACTCGCCTCGAAGTAAACATTTTTTCTTTTGAAACCCGGTGATCTGGACTCCAAGAATTTCGGAAAGGCAGCTTCCACCCCACTTTTTGAATTCTCGGTCCTTTATGAAGTTGTCTAAATGTTGAATACATGGAAGTCATAAAAATACGGTGAGAGGTATGTTGAGTAGGGTGGATGAACGGGAGCTTCGGTCAGCACCTCCTTCAACTTTTGAAGATGATTCTCGACGCTGCGTTTGCGCATTGCCGTACAAAAGCAGACGATTCACTAGTGCTAGATGCTTACGCTTAGGTTTCGTGTACATCTCGTGAATTTTATCACAGTGGGATTATGCGTCAATGGTTCGTTTGGGAGAGTAGTGAGTAGCGAATTAGCCCTCGGCTAGAGAACCAAATTGTAATCATTGTTTTCTTCACGAGTGGAGATGGGAAAAGTTCTGGGAGGCTCATCTACAATGAACTAAAGAGCACAACGTTTTCTGCTGTCATATAGACCCATTTTCCATCACACGTTACTATGCGATGAAGAATGGCTCAACGTCATTTCTTCTCAGCAAGAAAATCGAAATTTTTGGGGCCACAATCGCTGTGAACGGTTGTATGCTTGGTAATCTCTAACAAAGGTTGGCGTCGATCTTGTTCAACTTCTCTTAGTGGAGCACCGTTATCAACTGACGATGGTTGGCCAACTCGCTCTTGGCCTGTCAGTTGCTCGTTTCCATTTCTAAACCTCTGAAACCAAAGATGGAACCTCCACTCCGATGCGGTGCCCTCTCTCATGCAACGCTGCTGTTTGTGGTTGCCTCCTTCGTAGTTCCACCAAGTTTGATACCACTAAGCAAAACCGTTCAAAAGGCAGCCTTTTCCATTTCGGAAGGGAACGTTTTAAGATTTCAAAAACCTCACGGAATTTTGAGAAAAGTGCTCTGACAGAAAGAGCAACTTATGACCAACCTACCGAGCACAGTGGGTCGACTGGTCTAATTTGACGCCGCCAAAAATTGCACTCATATGGCGCATGCGCGGAACTGGCAAGAACTTTCCTTACAACCTATTTATGTCGAGGAACCACAACTGTCCATAATAATAGTATGTTAGTTACGGCGTTATCTCTGATGTTGGGTCAAGGAAAGGGCTTTGAGGGGTTTCCGGTAGGTGGCAGTATTTCGTACTGGAGCACTGCTAGCCTGCGAGAGTTTTTGAAAGAGTAGGAGTTCCAATGATCCACAACTTTTGGATGACAATAGTACAGATTTTCCCTCACCTACCATTTTTCCGTCTACCTTCCTGCCTTTGAATTATCGACCCCAAGCTCTTTTAATCCTCATCATNCTTTGTGGGGTTTCCGGTAGGTGGCAGTATTTCGTACTGGAGCACTGCTAGCCTGCGAGAGTTTTTGAAAGAGTAGGAGTTCCAATGATCCACAACTTTTGGATGACAATAGTACAGATTTTCCCTCACCTACCATTTTTCCGTCTACCTTCCTGCCTTTGAATTATCGACCCCAAGCTCTTTTAATCCTCATCATGTTACTAGTGCTAACCTTTTACATAAAACTCATTCGGCGATCATGAATGAACTGCAGAACATACTCGAAGGAAGTCTGGATCCGTGAAGTCACTTCCTCAAGAAAAGAAATCCGATGATTCATCGTGAGTAGTCGTTTCACTTACAAACTTTCGCCTACTTTTAATCTGGATACAACGCAATTCTCGAAAAGATCTAGAAATGTATTCAACGATTCTATTGGCGTGATAATAATTGGAACAATGCTGAAGGAACCCTACTCAAGAGATATGTACGGATAAAAAGTTCGATTGGTCCCTCATTGTGAAGCACACGATCGAACTCCATTTGCTGACCTTAAAGGCACAGTTTACGATAAAAAATCATTTATGAGCTCTCCCATGAATCAGTGGCTCCAAGGGTAACAGGAAGGACGCTGTCGAGTCCCGAAACCCAGCAGCTAGAGCTTTGTGGGAGCACCGTTACCGGATCGCACGGATTTCCTGCCCCTCGATCGACTAGGACCCACACAATCAGCTGATCGCCGAGTGATGAGGCGATGTTTTTCTCTTTTTCCCATTATTTTTTTTTTTTGTTGCTGCGATCCCTTATTTAATATTCTACCACAAAATACCCCAGGAGCCTGAAAAGGGTGGCTATTTTTGCTGTTTCCAGGGTTTTTGGTAACCTATGCTTAGGAGTGGTTGAATTTTGCCTACCGTAATCAGCTATTCGCCCCAGGACTCACACGTACGCATTGGCACACATTGTATAGCTCGACCAAACACCCCATTCTTCTTCATTATTCTGAGCTCATCCTCTTCCAGCACCCTTTTACCGATTTTTCGAAGCCTTTTTTTCGCTTTGTGAACGACGATTCACGCAGTTTCTTCGCCTTCATCGCACTATTTTCTATCTTATCTTCCATTTTCCGTCATAATCTGGATTACCCAAAGTTGTCGTAAGCTGTGCCCTCAATCAGTACTCGTTCAAACGTTTCCTATAGAAACTGTCACTCACTCCCGTTCTTCCAAACAAACTGAAACTGAGCTGCTCCTGAAGGAGATGCCGCCAGCCTTGGATGATCTAACCTAAGAGTAGGATTCTGGTGAGCCTAATGAATACGGTTCCAGGGAGCCGTATCATTCGTATTCTTTTCTCTCGGATGGCGGGCTCACTTGGCCAAGGTGACTTTCAGCCATCAATTTAATGATGTGGCGACGGCTCTATCTTGCGCTACCTGCCGTCCTCACTCTCGAAGGAATGCTCAACTTATATTTCAATCGATCTACTCCATTTCAGTTTTTGAACCTTTTCTGGCTTTTGAGTTTTTTACAAATTCATACGCATCATAGCCGCTTATAGAAAATACCTTTCCAAGATTACCTGCATGAAGTCTTTCCAATATGTTCAAAATTATAATATGTTCTTGCATACCATCTTTTTATCGTCCATCTTTCAGTTCGAGTTATGTTGGTGGAGGGACATAGTGAGTTGTCAATCAACACTTCCTTTTTTGTTTGTTTTCAATCAATTGAAAAAAAAACCGTCNNGAAGTCTTTCCAATATGTTCAAAATTATAATATGTTCTTGCATACCATCTTTTTATCGTCCATCTTTCAGTTCGAGTTATGTTGGTGGAGGGACATAGTGAGTTGTCAATCAACACTTCCTTTTTTGTTTGTTTTCAATCAATTGAAAAAAAAACCGTCCTTGCTCCTTATTTACTGGCTCTTGCCTCAACTTCTTTCCAGATTGTTCAACCTAATCAGTATCTGCTGATGGTAGATTTGAAAAAAAAACAATCATTTACATGAGCAACCCGCGGGGCTTTTGAAGTGTTTAACCTCTACTTACCATTTGCCCTAGTATATGTACCTAGGGATAACTTTTGTATAGCTGTGTTAAGTCAGTTTTTTTTTCAGTAAAAGTAAAGCTCGATCACGAGACCCTGACTTTCGTTTAGCCCGCTAGAACACTTATAATTTCTAGGCAATGCAAGCAGCAGCTGAATAGGTTGATGAAAAGCAGTTGAGGCATTAGTTAAGTAGAAATGAACTTCGTCCTGATCAAATATCTTTTACTTACTAATTAAACAAAATTATCTACAAAAATTTCCAGCACAGTGCTGATCGTCGTCGTTGTTTTGGTGTTGCTGTTGACAGTTATTTGTGGAGTAGTTGCTAGGATGAGACGTCGACGAAGGCTTGCAAAAATGAACCCAAAGCCGAAAGCCGGAAGCAAGCAGAAGATATCAAGAATCACCACTTCTAATAGCAATCTAAGTCACTACAAGCCTGAAAGCACCGAGCTTGAAGAAAAACCCCGGAAGAAACGCCATTCTGAACTGAGAACTTCTGTAGCTGCAGTTGGCAAAAAAATTGCCCGTATAAGGCCTAGTATGGGAAGGGGTAGATTTCCAAATAAAGAAGAGCTCCCTTCACCCGACAGAGAAAATTCCGTTGAAAAGAATCCAATAAAGAGAAGCGTACTAGTGGCTAAAGAAGAGGGGGGCAGTGAGTTACTCGTGGCCAATGAAAATTCCACCGTACCTGTTTATAATAGTCCCCAACTAGGTTTTCCAGTCAAAGAAGCGAATGCAAATGCTAATGCCGACGACCCTTATGGATTGAATGTGTTGAATAAAGTCAAAAGCGAACCTTTCGTTGTTAACGCCTCGGGTGAAGAAGGTAAATCTTCAGGTGACGCGAAAAATTTTGGGACAAGGCGGGACCCCGTTAGGTCTATCCGAATCATATAAGTGGGGAAGGCTGTCTATTAAATCAGATATTGTTTAGTCAGTAGCGTATTACAGAATGATATTTATAAATTGTTCAAACATGAAGGAGTTTGAAATAAAGCGCTTGAGTTTTGTGAGGATTCCAGAAGGAATTACTGGTTGAAGGACATGAAAGCATAGGGCCCATCCTCACCCTCACTCCTTCCCATTGGCTCTCCCATTTCGTCTGGATGATTTATTTGAATAGCCCGATTTCGAAGAAGAAATAATAGATTCAGTATATCCATCCTATTTGGACACTGAACATTTCAGAGTGGGGTGAATGCCTTCCGATGGGAGTGATGCGAAGATGCGCTATTGCTACCTATATGATCTTAGGATGGGATGCCCCACAAATTTGATTTGTGGAACATGAGTGAATGTTCAATGGGGTCCTGAACACATTCCGTAATTCCCATAGCGCTTGCTGCGAAACTAACACGTATGGGACTAAATTTTATGAGTCGTAGTGTGGAAATTCTGTGGAACTACGGTAGAACCGCACTTAATCTTAGTTCTCTATAAAGCAAGAACCTGCCGCGTCCACTCTTCTCGAATACTGGGAATATACTATTAGGTTGATACATGATTATTGCGGATTTTTTTTTCAGCAAATTTTACTTGAANACTAACACGTATGGGACTAAATTTTATGAGTCGTAGTGTGGAAATTCTGTGGAACTACGGTAGAACCGCACTGAATACTTCGTTCTCTATGAAGAATGAACCTGCCGCATTCGCTCTTCTTGAGTACAGGGAATATACTATTAGGTTGATGCATGATTATTGCGGATTTTTTTTCAAGCAAATTTTACTTGAAGAAACGATAGAAATATCTAGCTATTACATGTTCAAATAATTGCTCTGGAATATATCAACCATCTACGTCGAGCACTGCTTCCCATTTGATAGGCAGTCGGTTTCCTAAGGCGAAGAAGTTCCGGTTCTTGGAGGCGGTCCACGCCTTGACGTTGGCCATCAAGCCGTCCACTTCGCCAAAGGTTCTGTTCGTTAACCTATTTTTCAACGGACGATCAACGTGAGAATAAATAGGAGCTTCTGTTGGTGAATAGGGTAACCGCAGAAGCAGATTCCATTCTTTATTCGGCTTTGGCTGAGTGTTCCATCGCCGAGAAGTTCGTTGAGATCACGTTATGAGTGTGCCGCCTTCCAACATTTCTCGAAGTAATAGAGGATAATGTGGCGTATATGAAGATGGCTTTCAGGACATATTTCTGTTAAGGAAAGCGTGAAGAGTATTTCTACAAAAATCCCGATTTTGAAAGTATAATTTCATCGAGAGAAAAGAAGCCGCGAAAAAATGCGCAATAATTATGCATCAACCTAATATAATGTTTCACATTGCTTTGCCGTACATACCAATCATGATAGAACCGTTTGTTCCGGCCGACGTTTCGAACAACTCCTCTCTCCGAGGAGCTGAAAGTAATTCGGAGTCCCTGATTTGTGGCTTACCTGACCGTGCACCGAAAAGCGCTAGGCCGTTCGCAACAGCTCCCAGAAACTTGAAAACCAAAAGATGCCAACCAAGAAAGTGACCTGCGGTCCCTCCAACGTTGCCGTCCCGCTCGATTCTGTAAACAACAAGGGACCAGTGAGACACCATTGTCGGCCGAAGATGAAAATCACGCGCTGATTTCAAAACCCACAAAAGGGAGCGAATGGTAGAAGGTCACTCGTTATGGCAATGCGCTCATTTCGGTTGTTCAGCTTAGGATTTCTCTCGCGGTGCAACGCTTCCAATATTTTTGTGGCACCGATCTCATTCTCGTAGTCTAGGATTTTGCATTTGATATCAAAATCTTTGTCCTGATGCTCTGCTAGATGCCTACTAAGTGGCGTGAGTAGGCTTCCTCGCCTTTTACCTGCTCGTTGTTCCTTGCACGTATGTCCAGTATCCTTCCCGTCTCACCAATATAGTACATTTCGTCACAGGCTGAACACTGAACCGTCCCTCGCTGTGTTTAGTCTCCATTCCTTCGAAAGGACAAATAACGCAGTTATCTGTAGTACATGCACGATTATAGAGTTTGTTGTGGATCAGAAGACGTTTGGTGTAGCATAGTCTGTTGGTACGTCACTCGCGCAATGCATTGCCGTTTCTCTGCGCTGATTTTGTCTGACATAAATGGAAGTCAGAGATGCACCATGTTCTTATGATATCGCAGCGAGTACCCTCTTTACTTGTCTTTCTTTATTTGGTCGCATAGCCATTAAAGTTTGCGATCCCACATGCTAGCCCAGGTGACTCCTCTCGTTCCACTTTGCCTGTACACACTCCTGTAGCTGTTTTGTACATATTGCTAACTACTGCACGTTCCACAGCTTTAGGATGAGCAGACCTTGCGTGGAGTAAGGGGTCCTTCGAGCTGTCCTTCCGACGCCACTTCACATTGTGCCTTCATGAGAAGTTGAGATGTTTATCTGCGTATCAAGATAATGAAGCCAGCCATTGTGGACCTCTCTCGTAAAATTTGATTCAGTGAGACTGTCGGTTGAGGATGTCAAACAACTCATCCATCTCTTGCTGTGTTGATGTAGCTCCAGAGCAGTCATCGATGTCATCGATGTACCGACAGTACATAATGGACATGCGGGCTACGATTAGTCTTTCTAGTCTGCTCATAAAACAGAGATAGGACTGGTGCTAGCCGCTGACCTATAGCAAATCCTCAGTTTTGCGATAAGTACAGCCCGCTCCGCTTGAAACAACCTGCCTTCGTTTTTTTTCAAAGATTACATTTCCATATAGTGATGACAGGAATCGGGGTTGAGTGTACTTCGGATAGCCGAGAAGGAGTGGACGTTCGACTAGCTTTTTGATCCTCGCTACAGTAATAAAGCCATAGGGAACGTTTAGTTATGCTCAAAGAAAACAGCTGTACAAAAAAGCCAAATTAGCAAAATACTATAACTATACATAACCCGTCTAGGAAGTAACACTTGTCGCAGATCAGTTATTAACGTAAACTATGATTTCGCTTCGTTGAGATTTTTCGCTAAGCTGCTCGAACGTGACATACTGGTCGTTGATAACTTCTTTCGTACTGATGCTCCATCTCGAGCGGACATCGACGACATGGATGTCTCACGTGAAAGCTGAAATAACTTATGCCTTAATGTAAAAAAGTACTCGGGAAAATTCAAGCAAAGAAGAAAGAATGAGCGGGAACGATCCAAGAGCATTTTCAGGCGTGTCGGCATTTTCGCGCATAAATGATGTGGTTGGGTGTGTATTATATAATCCCGACCAATCCTAGAATACCTTCGGTCGGTAGAAAAATATTCGAAGTCCTATCCAATATTCGAAGTCCTTTTGTCAACATCTTCAAGTCAAGCTTCTTGAATTTCGAAAATGGAAAGCTTCAACGAAATTCACATTTCCATGGCTATCAAGAGAGCATTAACAAGGTGCATCGAGATGACATACTGGTTTTATTATTCCTTGAGGAATCAGGGTAATTCTGAGGTACCCAACTTTATAAGTAAATGAAGGAAGTGATGGTGGTGAGTAGATTCAAGGCCGCAAGGAAAGCGTTAAAACTCGTGGATTCTGGGAATTGCAAGGCTTTGGAAAGCAGTCAACTCAAAGGCACGGTTCATGATAAAAGTGGTTACTTACAAGGGAAGGATAATTGGTCGCAGTGGCCATTCAAGATGAGATGCATACTCCCGTAGGTGTTTTCGAACGCTGGTCTCAAATCTGTATTCCAAATCTGCGAAACGATCCTGGTAACAAAGTTACGGGACCAGGGCC